TTAGTCGGCCAGGACGACCGTCTAAATAGTGTGGTCTTAGCAAACGAGGGGGTGGTTGAGAGGGAGACTAATAGTAGAACGAACGCACAGGCTAGAGAAGCACACTTACGTCTATTGCCTTGATAAGGGGTGAGTTGTTTTTGTCTCGGGGATCACAGCCAATGCACGGAAGAAGGCCAATTAGGTAGAAAATCAGCAAGAAGACGTCATCGACGTGGGTAAGCTGGCTGATTTTTGTGTGGAAGGAAAAAAATGGGAGGAAAGCACGGCTAAGAAACCCAAAAAAGAAAGCGAACAAAAGGACGATACACGGATATAGTAATACCTCGAGCATTCGCGAGATCATGTGCCAAAACTCGTCACGACTCAGGCGAAATCACGAATGTCTGGGAGGCGTGACTAAATACACTTAGTTATAGAATGTTTACCCTCAAAATGACAAAAACGATAATTAAAATGAGAAATACAACCAAGAGTAAACTAGAAATCCGCGAAATGCGGATATGAGCAAAAAAATGTGAATTTTCGAGAATAAAACAGGACCATGAAAGATAGCCTTTTTCCTCATTTTGAACCGAAAAGAACCCGTGTGTCGCTAAAAAAAACTAAAACTTAACTAAATAAACTAAGGTAAACTAAAATAACTAGATTAAGAACTAATCTCAACTAAAACTAAATAATAAACCTTTAAACTAAACTACACTTACACTAAACTAAGGTGGACTAAAATAAGCTAAACTAACATCGAACGTGAACTAAACTAAACTAAGCTGACTAAACTAAAAATAATAAAACTAAATGTACTTGCAAGGCTCTATATATTTCCGTGGGAAGTGTGATAGATTGCCGAATGCTGAAGACCCAAACAATGAAGCAGGCTTACTGCAATTAAATAAGTAGTTGGTAATGCGTAGTAAACTATGGTGCTGATTATATAGAACCCTTGCCGACTAACTCATGGACTGTTGTTTTATTTTGCACTCACAGTTAGGTAAAACGAGGTAACGGGTGGGACTGCAAATTTAATGACTGACGTCATCGTTGTCAGGAAGATAAGTTAGGTAAACTTCTAATGTCACAGAAGTCATGTCACATTTAAATAAAGAAAGCATGTACGTAGGGTA